CTTCCCCCTCTGCTCTGTCTCCATTGGTATCCCCTTTCACTATCAGTGTCACGTAGAGAGGGAGAGGTCTCTTAGTATGCTTCTTCCTGCATGTACTCCCCATCTGTCTTGTAATTTGTTCTCTGGTTTTGGTGGGTTGTTGGTTTGGGGTTTTGTGATTGATTTTTTTTTTCTTTGCTCTCTGCCTGTGTCCAGGAATCCTTCACGTGCAGGTATTTCCCATACAGATGCCTAAACCATCTGGAACTAGTGTCCAAGGTTGCAAGGACCCTCTTGTGGCTACTCAGACTGTCTCAGCCAAAGGCTTCCAGGCTTGCTGTGAGGAAGACCCTGGGTGCTGTGTTAGGGCATACTTTCACTTTGGCTTCCACAGAGGAGGTGACAGCAGCCAGGATCTTTTATTTGGGAAAAATGTAAAATTTTAGGCAGCAGCTGCCCCTAAACTTGCTCACACTTCATCTTGTCTTCTCTACTGAAAGGAAAATGCCTCACCTTTCCCAGCTGGGGTAAATCCATGCTTCAGACTTGTTCTGGTCAGCAAGCATGTTCTCCTCTGGTGCTTAAGACTTCACTTGCCTGAGGAAAGTGCCTCTGAGAAGATATCTTCTGTCTAGGAAGAATTTTCTGTATAAAGCTGGGTTTATTCTTTTAAAGCCTAAAACCTGGATGAGATGTAGGGGCAGAGGAAGGCAAGACTCTAAGGATAACTAGGGCAGAGGGAGAGGGCTGTGGTTCAAATCTGACTTTGCATTTCACTCTGAGGGAGCCAGATGTCCCCCTGACTCCTTGAAAAACACTCAGGGCTACTCCATAATGTTGGAAGCAAAGCTGAAACTCTCTGATGTGCAACATGAGGCTTTGCAGAGGTTTTACACAAGCACAGAAAGTCCTAGTGGGTTTGGCTCAAACAGCCAAATAATCTCTTACAGGGTCTATCCAAGCACTTGCATTTTTCACCTACTCTTGTTGCCTGTATTCTTTGGCATTTGCAGAGTAAGCTGTAAATAAGGGTTGATATAATCTTCCTTCTTTCCACAGTGTAGTGGTTTGGGGCTTTTTTTTTGTTTTTGTTTTTTGTTTGGTTGGTTTTTTTTAAACAATCCCTCCATCTCTCCCCATGTTTCTTAAAAGATCCTGAGATGGGAGAGAATGGATGAGGTGGAAGTATCCAGCATCATTTGGGATTGTATCTGTCTTTGGCTGCTTCATTAATCCAGTACTTTTGTCATTATGACACACTTTCTCCTGGACACTCTCCTGGAATTGCTATACTTCTAGCAGGCAGGATTTAACCAAGACCAGCAGAGACACCTAGCTCAGGTCGGAACTCTGATTGCTGATGCTTTCTGCATTTTGTTAAGTCAGAGGGGGCAAACAAAAAACCTCCTTGTTGCTTTGCTTAGATTGGGAAACTAAAATTGTTTTTGTGAAGAAGTCTTTGCCTTGTTCAGAAAAAGGTGCTGACTTGAAATAAGGAGAGAAATAGATTGTTTAATTTCATGTATTTAGACCTCCTCACACATAAAAATCTCATAACAACTTCTTAAAATGTTTGTTCATTCCCTGCCACCTCTCCCTACTGGGGTGCTTGCTGTGGAATGAGAAGATCAGCATTCTGCTGCAAACAGGCTGTGAATGCTTTTCTAACAAATTATTACATTATCTATGATGAATCTATTGTGCCAGCACTTGTGCCAGCAACACTCTGTCTTCCCCTTCTTTTAAAAATCTCATAACAACTTCTTAAAATGTTTGTTCATTCCCTGCCACCTCTCCCTACTGGGGTGCTTGCTGTGGAATGAGAAGATCAGCATTCTGCTGCAAACAGGCTGTGAATGCTTTTCTAACAAATTATTACATTATCTATGATGAATCTATTGTGCCAGCACTTGTGCCAGCAACACTCTGTCTTCCCCTTCTTTAAATGCCTGAAGCAGTTTCAGCAGTCAGCAGGAGCAAGAGCTTCAAATTTTTACTTAGTCCTTCTCAATTTCATGAATTTCTTCATGGAAAGGGTTATTAAGCATTGGAACAGATTGCCCAGGGAAGTGGTGGAATTGCCATCCCTGGAGGTGTTCAAGAAACAAGTGGATGTGGCACTTAGTGCTATGTTCTAGCTGATAGGGTGGTGATTGGGCAAAGGTTGGACTCTATAATCTTAGAGGTCTTTCCCAACCTAGATGATTCTGTGATTCCTCTTGGAGGCTGCAGTATTTTTCTTAGAAGGATCAACTATGTGAGCCAGCAGTCTGTGCCTCATCTGCAACTGCTGCTGAGGTAAGCACCTAACTGACTGAAGCTACTGGGCTAGCAAGAGATTTATCACAGAAATCAGTAAGTCAAGCTCTACAACTAACTTTTAAAAGCCTGCAAGAAATGGGCTGAGGCCTACAGACTGAACACTGTTCAAAACTACGTGATGTTAAGAATGAATTTGCACATGAACCTTTCATTTATAAAGCATTAAAAGGCTTATCTTGACAGATCCATCGCCAGCCTGGATCATAACCAAATTTCTCTATTCAAATTCTCTACCACAACATTTTCATTGTGTGCAAGCTGTGTGCTGTAACGGTAGCTGTGCAGTCAGCCAGTCGTGACCTGTCACCTGACCCACCGCAGGAAATGAAGACCATATTTTTGCTAATGCTTGTTCTTTGCCCACAGCAGTAAGAGTGAAGCATGCTTCTGGCCCTCATCCTAGTCTGGAAATCAGTGCTCCTGCAGTGCTTATTTCTCTTGAGTTTAAAACAGTAAGAGAATGTTACTTTTAAAATATTTTTTCCTCTCCACAGGTTTACCATTGTTACTGCTTGTGCTGGGAAACAAAGGGAACCTGCAGAATTCACAATGCAGACCTGAACAAGAATCGTGTAGTCCCAGTACAGTTTACAGTCAAATGACCACAAAGGAGTGCAGCTGCCAGTTTTGGTTAGGGAAGTCTATGAAATTACACTCTTGTCTTGAAGGCTTGTAACTTCATGAAGTTACAGTTGAATTTTGTAGGACATCTTAAGTCAGTGTGTGTTCCACACACACCACACCCCCCCACACCTGTTTTTGTGGGAAGATGGGGCAAGAAGAGTAACACATGTGCCAATTTGGAACATATCTTTCTGGTTTGAGCTTTGTGCTGTTTTATTTTGGTTTTCTCTCTTCCATATGAGGGCTGTGCTCCTTCAAAAACTTAATGCTCCTGTGAAATGCAACTTCAAACCTGCTTCCCAAACCATTATGGATTCAGGTGCTAGATCCTATTCTAGCAAACTGATAACTTGGAGATTGCTCTTGAGTATATTTAGTCTTAACATGTACAGGTTGCTAACCAAAGGAAAATACCACATACACATAGATACACACACACACTTCAAACTAAAGTGTTTATTGCATACTAATGTTACCATAATCAGTGCTGGCAAAGATGACCCCTCTCCATTGTGGTGTAACCAGACAAACACATAGTGTCTTGGAATTCCTTCTGTCTCAGCCGCATGCTGCGTGTTTGAAGGATCCCCAGTCTGGGAACTGGTATCACTGTGCTGGACACCAGTACGTTCACTGTAGCAATGTAAACATGGCCAAAATTCAAAACCCCAGGTGTGCAAAGAATTTCAATATAGAGAGGACTTTGTGAAAGGTTTTTGTTTGACATTTAATCAACATACACACCTACTTCTTTCCTTAAACGACTGTTACAAGCCTCTGGAAAGGAGTGTTGTCGAACAAACTTAGATGCTTGGCTTCTGTCCTCACCATTGTTGTTGCTGGCAGACAAACCAAAGTGATGCAGTACATTTTAAGAAGGCCAAATATATCCTCACTAGCGTGTAGAGGAAGTTTCCACAGGAGTCATACAAAAGAAAACACCGAGTGCAGAGATCCATTCTGTTGTGTCTGTGCAATGTTCATCCAAACGGCTTACGCGTGAGAAAATAAATAGTGCTTTGTAACACCTCTCAGCTAAGAAAACAGGGCGATGCTTGGGTTTAAAAGTACGAGGTATAGGAACACTGCTCGTGGCCAAACGTGATCTGTGACAGTCCATCAACACTTACTGTATTAGTTTCATCTTCATTTTTCTGTGCTTCAGAGTGAGCAATCAGCTATCCTGGAAATAAAAGAAAATAGGCATTTACATGCTGGCAAAGATGGTCAATAAAAGCATGAGGCTTTGGAAGTATAAACTTTATGGGTGACAGCAACAGAAATCAGATAGTATCCTGTCCTAGTCTAGACTCCCATATTTATCAGAGTGCTAATTATGAATCTAACAAGGAGCCCCAAGGTTTGCATTACAAGTGTACAACAGCACAGAATTTGGCTAGATATGCACCAGTCTGTTTTAATGATTTTCAAAATGAAGAGTACCCAACTCCTAAAAGCACATGCTGACACCAAAAACCAAACTCCCAGTTACAGTGTTACAGTAAACGTGCACTGCAGTGTAGAGAATAGGTATGTATGCATGATTTGGCATTCTTCTGAAAGCAATTCTTGAGCACGAAGCAATGACAAATTTGAATGCAAAAACATCCTGAAATCCATAAAATAATCTTATGGGAATTCAGACTGTAGCAGATTTTAAACTGTCCTGGCCTCTTCTGGAACTCACCTCAGATTCTTGTCTCTCTGGGAGGGTTTCTATTCCGTTGTGATCCTGTGTATATTGTGGGGCCTCAGCTTCTAGCTCTACGTCAGCCTGCATGCTGGGCTTTTCATTCTCCCATTTTGCAAAGCCTTTGTTCTTCCCAGCTTTTCCATGGTATTTGGACTTCATTTTGGGGAAAGTATGGGAACCTGAATCATTCCAGCCTGGCTCATGCCAGAGTGGTTCTGTCTGTGTTGCTTGGCTGGTGGTCACCCTCTGCAGCCGCACCGAAATTTTTCGCGAAGAGCCAGTGACGAGGGTGATAGCTCTGCCATCAAGGTCCTGGTGTTCTGCAGCAACACTGGGAAATTCAAATACTTCATCTTGCACTGAAAGACAGGGTAGAATTGTTTAGTTTAAATACTCTACCTCAAGATGTTTACAAAGAGCTAACCCTGGGAGAGGGGCAGGGAGCTAACCCCTTATATGAAGCAGTGGTATGATTAGCAATATCCATATGCTGCTTGGAAATGGCTTCTGGCTTCATGTGCACGCATATGATTCTCTCACCATCTGTATGCTCAGGGGATAAGCCAGAGCTGGACTTGTGCCCTATGTCTCCTTGCTCCTAAGTGACAAATAAGTAGAAGTGTAATTTCATAATTTAATTTCTTTTCAGCTGGGATGGGGGTGCTGTAATCTGAGCACTGAACACAGGCAGTGGAAAGTACATGTGCTGCTCTGTGCATTGATACAAAGGAAAAGTTAAAAATAGCAGCAAGGACACTGGCCATTAGAGAGGATTCCAGAAACATCTTAATATAGTAGCAAAAGTGCTCTCACCTGGAGGCAGAGATGGACTGCTAGGCAGAGAGCCGTGGTTGCTGCCTACTGAGGTTCCTCTGGAAAATTTCCTGCATGCCAGCACAAGCAGGTCTCTGCATTGCTTATGACAGTTGGCGCCGCAGTCTGTAAGAAAGGAATTGTCAAGTCACCAAATGGAAAACCACAACTATCTGGTAATCCCTCAGGGCTATTAGCAGACAGTTACCAGAAGGGACTTTGAAGGAACAAATAGTTTGACAGAAGGTGTGAAGGGAGTTAATAGAAACGGCCCATTTGGTGTGAAGGGCATTGCAAAAAAAAAAAAAAAGGATCATTTCTATGACAGCCCTTAATAGAAAACTGGTAGCAGAAGGGAGGAGGGGGATGATATTTTCATCAGAAATGTCTCAAGTAAGGGATGTAGAATTACTGGTATGATGCTGTGTATGTCACACATAAACTTCTGCTCTACTGCATGAGTCTCAAAAAAAAGAAGAGGGGTTTATTTGGTTGGGTTTTACTTGAGCCAGCAGGTCCCATTAACACATTTGGTCAGAAGACCCTGAGCCTCTGGAAGGAGAGCTGGAGGTCAGTGTAGACCACTGAATGTTAAAACCAGTCTAAGTAGCTCAGTAAGCAACATCAGCACACAGTAAGCTCTGTGGACATGTGTCTGGATGACACTGGCTGAGTGGTTGCGCACCTAGACTCTGCTGGGATTTGCATCATTACCAATACACTCACCACTAGGTACATTTATCTGAAGTGTGACTGCAGTACGGATCTTATCTGCAAGAAAGGGCTGAAGTGTGGAGGATGTGTGCCCCAAACACAGGCTGTCTCTCCCCTGTGTTGTGGAGACAATGTACTTAGAAGAAAATGGACACCCTGTGAACCAGCCATGTGGGGAGATGAAATAAACACGTACAAGGTCAGGAGATGCATACCAAGCACGAAAGGAGGATGAAAACAAACTCTGCAAGGATAAGATAAAGGGAGTAGAAGAGCAACAACACCTGCAAAGGGAGGACTGAGCTGGACTATTATCCAACCTATCATTTAGCTTTCAGAGGCACGTGAACAAAGGCTTTTCCCGATCATTATATGTGTGATTGCGTGTACGGAGAGAAACACTGTATATTAGGGACAGTAGAATCATAATAAAGTGGCTTCAGCCTAATTCACATTGAATCATCTGGAGTCTGTTTCTCTCCACACTGTGTCGCTTGCTGTTCTCTGAGAATTTCTGTCTCCCTTGTTTCTCTGTTGCTGCTCCATAACCCAATGTTTTGTTCTAGGGGAGCATTTGCCAAAGTGCTGTAAGTCTCTGCTCTAAGAACCATTCTGCTCAGGGCAGCAGCTCCAGCATGATGGGCAAGTTCCTGTTTCTGCCATCACATTGTTCATAGGAGTAAAAAATCACTACCTGCCAAAATGTGGTTTTTTCTGCCCTAAAGGTAACACTCACCATATATGATAAATATCTCTCTTGAAGTGGAGAACACTTTTAATCACTTGCAGATGAGTGTCTAACTTTATCTCATTTCCCTCAGTGCTGGGGTAAGCAGTAGACCTGAACAGATGAACTCTCTCCCTCCCCCTGCTGTGTCAGAGCACAGCGTCAGATGTTCAAACAAATGACAGTTCTGTGCTCAAAGGCAGAAATCATCCCTAATGGGTGCCACACTCCAGTGATGCTGGCATAGAGATCAGCTGGTAGCTGATGCAACAAAGGGCAGGCACCACTTACACTTGTTGACCACTAAGATCTAAGCAAGCAGCTCTGCTCGCTTGCTTTCATGCTCCATTGCCTGTAATTTTGACTCTACAGAACCACTTTAGCTCACTCTCCACTGGGCCACTGTGACAAGCAGTGATGTAGCACAGAGCTCAGCTTTCAGATCTCAAGTGGAATTCACAGGTTGCTGTGACAAAACCTTATGTTCTTTCCCGCATCCTACCAGTAAAACTACAGACCACAACCAGCCCTTTTGAAGCTGCTCAGGTGACAGTAATCAAGCACAGCTGAATTACATATGTTGATTTAGCCACAGACATTTTGCCACCTCTCTCTGAAGAAGAGACACTCATGGGTGGAGAGGGAGAAAGAAATACAGTGTATCCTAAAAAAGCAATAATGCAAATTCTTCATCCTTCTCCCTGGAGTCAAAGACTAAGGGAAAAGAGTATATACAAACACATCTATGAAGCCTCAGAGTGAATGTTCCCCTGTGAATAACTGAGATGCTGGTACAATTGTGAAATCACAGTGCCCTTCAGCCCAAGCTGGGCTGCTTGAGAAACAGTCCAGGACTTTAAAGCCAATGAAGACCACTACAATGTCTTTTTTTGGTCTGACCTGCTCAATATTGTGCAAGTACTGCATAAGAAATTAAATATTTCATGAAGGCAAGGGAGAGGGATGTAAGAGCTCTAGGATCTTTTTTTAAAGTTGAATGTCTGGAGAAGCTCTTGCAATGAGATCTATTGGGCAGTGTAGGAACTAAATATTTCTCTATTTCTAGCTCAGCCACTATTGCATTGCAAGGCCAGTTAGGCTTCACTACAGGCACGTGGATGTACATGACAAACAGTGCTGCCAGCAGACTGTTTCCTGACCTGAGTCTTGGGGGATATATTTCAGGATGTCTCGGTGCTAGGATGAGAACACTTGGTTTTCCAAGATGCAAGGTCTTTACTGGTAGAAAGTGACACCTCATGGAGTCAGTGGCTATTTTGGACCTTTAGCTCACAGAACCTGTGTGTTCCTACTGGGTGCTATTTTCCCTAATGCAGTGAGATGTCCTAGTGTACCAGGATTCACTGTTCATGCACAATACGAAGACTAGAAGCAAGATTTGGCTGAACATATGTCATTTTAGTAAAAGGCATGGTTGACTGACTTGAGCTAAAACCCACCACATATAACTTGAAGAAATATCCATGAAATATTTATTTACCTTTGCATTTGTAGCCTTGTTTGATTATACCCCAGAGCTGCAAAGAAAGACAAAAGAATGTCAAGGAATTAGAAAAGAGAGCTTGAAGGAAAACAAGGTCACAATGAGGAAGTACCAATGGCTACAAAAGCACAAACAGGATACAACTGCTCTTAACACCCTTCCTGTTAGGCAGACCTCCCCCTCTAATTGTGATAAGACTTGTGTGGCTTCTTCCTTACTTCTACTACTTACTAGTAGTAGTGGGGCTACCAGAGAAGGAGAGACACAGATGACATCTGCTTCCAGGAATGGGTGAAAAATTGCTATCATATCAAGCTTAGTGAAACCAGCAGAACACATTCTGCTTCTAGGCTCATTTAATGTTATCTGCAGGAGAATTTCCAGTGTGCATCCATTCTGCAGATACATGAATGACCCCTAACACTCAAACACAGCAGAATAAAACACCACTGGGGATAAAAATTAGATTCTTGGTTCCCATACTTGTTCCCAGTACACCTAGCCATAGCAATCTGACTTGTCCACCTGACTTTTCCCATTAAAAAAGAAATACAGTTGAAGAATGAAACAGGCAGAAAAGCCACTAAATTCCATCTTTGCCTCCCCCTGAAGCTGCTCTTGTTGATGTACATAACAACCACATACTAAACCTCCAAAACCTCCAAAGTATATGGTCCCACTTTTGGGAACCTTTTACTATGACATGAGCAGGAAAGCCTGGAAGTAGGAAAATTCCTAGCAAAATGTTTTCTGTACACTCTGAAGCACTGTATCTACAGGCATGGCATTATAAAAACAAGCATTTTCACTCTGAGAGCCAGAGAGAGCAAGGGGCAGTTTTCCTAACTCTACCATTAAAGGAAAAGCAAATGGGGACTCTGGTGTTTATTTATCCTGAACCCATTCAAAACATTACCAAGGAGGGTGAGCACATCCAGGCAGCTGAAAATGCACATGGCTCCTCACCAGTTTTATAAGAATCCATCCAGAGAGAGCAGGGGGTGAATATGGTCTTTAAAAAAATGTTCAAAAGGAAGAGCTGGAGAACATTCAGAATACAAAGGAAAGAGTAAAACAAACAGAGTAGAAAGATACAGGAGGCTGGGGGGAGAGGGGGGAAGGGTGGGGAACCCCACACACTGCATAAAAGGATTTGCAAGGAAAGATGTGGCCCTGGAGAAAGCAAAAATAGATTAGACAAGGTGGAAGAATGGTGAACAAAAACCAGAGGGGACAAAAGTAGAAGCAGGGCCCATAGAAAGAATGCTGCTTGTTCTTTTCCTGCTAATGCTGTATATTATTGTGTATATATATGTTGCTGTGATCAAGCAACAACAGTGGAGCACCTCAGTCCCTCTTGGAAGAGCAGCAATGACCTATTTTTCTCGGATCTTTTTTGCAGGATCACTGTAGGAGACATGGATTGTCATTTATTTCATTTAAGCTCCAATCTGCTCTCATTGAAGAGCTTTCTCCTCACCTTTTGAGCTCTGTACCTCCCTTCTACTCAAATTTGGCACCACTTTTGTGGTTATACACCACAGTGAAAGCTTAGCTGGAGTGTCATGTCATGAATTCTGACCTAAAGCTCTGAACCTGTCTGGCAGCTTTGCCGCAAAGCTGCTTGAGCCAGCTCCAAAGTAAGAGGATGTATGCAAACCCAGACTATAAAGCTTAGCAGGATGGCTGGTCACCTACCCTGACACGTGGTGCAGCTCAAGCTGTGGGATAGAACTGTGACTGGCCAAGGGCATATCAATTTTATGGCTGCTTAATGGCATTAGGTTTTAGCCTGACCTTTAAAGTTGGTATCGTTTTAATAACTGTGTGCATTGTACTGTCATGTCAATTCATCCTGCTGCACGGTCAGCGCACATTATTTTGACTGTGAATCAGTGCAGCGGTTTGAAATTAGGTTTCAACCCGTGGATGAGCAGCACTGAAACACAGAACAAATATGCCGCAGATTTTGTAGTCGGTTCCTGTCCTATCAGTCCAGCTCATGCACAGGACAATGCCAGTGACTTCAGTGAGTTGACGGGAAAAAATGACCATATTTCCATTTCCTGTACAACTCCTTACTCATTTGTATTCCTGCACTGGATGTAATCAGGGAAATGTGAAAAATCCAACAATGGCCAATTAGCAAATTGATGCAGGAGAAAAATATCTGGTGGAAAGGATATTTCAGGGCAGTCCTCGAGCCTTGCTTTGCTATGGAAGCCTTCCAGACATGAACCGAGTGTCACGAACACAATGACATCTTCCCAAGGCTGCAGGCAGCCCGAAACAATAGGCTCTGGCCAGTGATTGCTCCTGCCCTGTCTGACTGCTGGAGCTGTCAGCTCAAGAGCCCCACCAACATGCTCCTGAATCAGCACTGACCATGTCACCTCCACAGCTTTTGCAGCTCTGGCGGAAATGGCTGGAATTCCTTCTTCCTCGTGGCCTTGATCAGTGGCAGCAGTTGTGATAGGGACCACAAACATCTGAACAGGACTGACACGTTGCAAAAGAAGTGAGCGGAAGATGAGAGCATGGACAAGAGCAGGAACACCAGAGCTGGTCTGAAAGGAGGCACGTTTTTGCGCTTAGACGTGCTGTTACTGCTACTTTCAACCATGAAGAAATATTACTTAGTGGAACAGTTCACAGTATAAAGATGAAGATTTTGCCACTGACATCAGAGGCAGATCTGCTTCGAAGAGCAGGGACACAGTCTGAGTTTGCACTCTATTCTGTGAGCCACACGTAAGCAGAGGACGTGACCCTCTGCCCTTATTCCTTTAGCTGCCCAAATGTGGACTTTTTGAGTTCGGCTGTGTCTCCATTAAAGTAAATTGTAACTTTATCTAAATCATAGTATTTTCTTTTTTCTTTACTATACTTGGTTTGAAGTTAAAAAGCTGGAGGAGGTTTACAAGCAACACAAATGTCCACAAAACCAATCACTTCCTGGCTATGCACAGAGCACTCTAATAAATGGCATCTGGTAAGAAATGGCTGAGAGAAAAAGCAAATTAAAAAACCCCAATAAATAAATTTTTAAAAAGTCTTGTTGTACAGAACTGCTGGAAGCACTTTTGGTTGTTTTTTTTTTACCAAATTAGTAGATCTGTTAATTCAATAGAAAAAGGATTAGAGCTGTTACAGCCATTCAGAGAATTATGAACATAGCTATGTTGCCATGTGCAATTTCCTGAGAAAGAACTGCTTTTGCTTCATCTACATCCTCTGTTCCAGGCACCCATTTTCCCTTGAGCTTGTTTACATGGGAAATCAAGCCAAATTAAAGAACTTAATTTAAACCAAGTAAAGCCATTCATATAGTCTGTATATCCTTTAGATAATGTAATTTTATCCCTCCCCCAACCCCTGCAACAGTAATTCTTACAAATATCAGTATCCAGAAACCACCACATCAAAACTGGATAGCACAGGTACAACATGGCTTAATGTTTTGTGCTTCTGAATGCCATGAGATATTATTTGGCCAAGAGACTTTAGCAATGCGTGGAGCCAGTTTCATTCCATCTAGATTAAAGGGTAAAAAATTGTGTTTAAGATACACTAGTATTGAAAACATACTTACAAATCCTGCACAGTGCTCACAGAAAGTTGGTTTAAGATAGGTCATTTCCTGAAAGTTGTGAATAAACCCTGGTCCCATTTTACACTGGAACTGTGATTTAGCTCTCAGAAAGTAAGCCATCATTTCTTCTTTGCTTATAAGACCATCTCTGTTAGGGAAATAAAAAGAGGGTAGATTTGTCACTGCTCACAGGATTTTTTCATTGCAGAAACCATGAAGCACACGAAGCACACTCTTTGAAAGAGCTGTAACAGTCCTGGCAGGAAAACCCCTTAGAGCCTTTGTGGTTCTTACCTTTCTTTAAACAGTAAACACTGAACTTAGAACACAGACCTCGTTTTCTCACCTGTTCGTGGTATCAGAGCACAGACCAGACTATTAAACGAAGGATCTTGACTTAGTGCTCACACAGACGAAGAGGTTATGCTTCTGGCTGACCACCAGCCTTGACAGCCAAAGAGATTCTGAACAACAAGAATTATCAAGCCCAACTGACTAGGAAATATATGTTATATACACCTTCTAGAATATTTGTTACCTTCCCTCTGCTATATGCACTCATTTCTTCTGTGCTGCACACAACCTTTTTGTTTCATCTGTCTGATGCCTGGTCTGGATACAGCATCTCCACTGTAATTTGACAG